TTGGAAAAGTGTGAACCTGGCGTTTATTTTTTAATCAGCCGTGTTGAGTCGATCTCCATGTATTCTCCCATAGGGCGGGCCGCCTCCTGGAACCCTGAGTACCAGGTGACTCGCGCCGAGCTGCTCTGTCGGCCATGTTGTCGGCAAAACACGCGGATCAAAGGATTGCGCTACTCTGCTCCGTAGGAGCTATATAGTGCTCTGGTACTACCACGATCAATATGAGTGCGAACACCACTCCGCCTGTCACGCGGTACTATGAGTGCCCCCTGTCGACTTCCCTTTGAAGTGCATGTGCACCTTGGTTTCGAGACGTATCGTCTCTACCGATCGCCGCACCACTCTGCACTTCCGGGTCGTCTGCTAGCGAAAAACGGTCGGCGAAACCGCGAAACGGTTCACCAATAGGGAGTTTTCGTAGATCGTTTTCGCCGTCCCGCAAGGCCCTCCGCAATCCGCTACGATAGCGGGAACTCCACAGTCAAGGCTATCGGCGCGCAGGCGCAGTAGCAACTTCTTCGTTGCGGAACGTTTAGCGGAGGGGGCAACGCGGTCTACGAAAACTCCCTAATGACGAGCTTCCGCAATGAAGGCTGCCATTTTTCGTCCGGGCAAGCGGTCATGCGGCGGGGCCACTGGCTGGATGAATGGTATTGGCTAAACCCTTCGTATCGGGCGTAACTTGCGCCATGGCAGTGGTGCGGTCGCTAAAGTTGCCCTCGGTATCCGGTTCCGTGTCAGCGCTCGGGGGCTCAGGCCGCTCGGAAAAGTGGCCGAGCATTCGGCTGGCGCGCTGTTCCTTTAGCTCGGATTTCGAGGCGCTCCCGTATCTCCCAGAGGATTGGAGCGCTGAAAAACGACCAGCCGAAGATACCTTAAGAATCACGCTCCTTTCCACACGCCCTCTTCGTGATTAGATTAAGCTTTAATCTTTCGACCGTCGGGCATGGATATACACAAGGTAAAGAGCGGACACTGCCATAGGCCCCAGCGGCCCAGATAGACCAGTGACAGGTAGCGCTCCTAGCGGGCGGTATTAAGTATAATCTGATCCTGTTTCCGGTCAAGTTAGTTTCGGTTTCGGTTTGGGCGTTTCTGCTCCGGTTCTCCGGCACACTTCTCTCTGTCTCTTTCCTCCCCGCCTCGCTCGGCTCTCGGGAGCTCCTCGACTCACAAAGCCGCTGTTTTTTTTTTTTTTTTTTTTTTTTTTTAAATACTGACGCACTTTTGCTTTATTTTTTTACAATAGAGTCCGTGCAAAGTGTGTGAAACAATATTTCAACTTACTTCACAAAGCAAAAGTATATATATTTCTTGTTCTTTTTCTATTGTAAAGCATTGAAGTTACACAATCACCGCATTGACCCCTGGCCAGTGGAGCATTTTGGGGTCAACAACAGTAAGTGGTTCGAACATATTTTATTGGATCACATTCATGTATACATGATTTACTTCAGAAGCTCTGTATGTTTTATACGAAAGAGATCGATACTCACAAAAATAAATGAATATGAAGGACTTCGGCATATCGCACGCTTCGTAATAGAATCTTAGCGGAACCAAGTTCACAAAACCTTTCCACGGAGAACATGCTGTATGATACATTCACTTTCACGCCGACTGGGGTACGGGAAGTAAGTGCAAAAATAAATAAGACATCGCTATCATTACCAGTCATAAGAGTATAATAACAGTGCGAAGCACAGGCCGGATAGTAAAAATTCCCGATTTCCGGCAAATATAAAAAAACACCAATTTGCATAGCCTCAAACTCGCTGCGGGCGAGCCATTACCAAACAATGAGAACTCTATTCGAAATCTGACAAGATTCAACGTCTCTAAACATTCCCCGAAATCGTTCAGAAAAGAAATATGGCTTCAGAAAAAAGCGGATAAAAAACTATGGACAGTGGATACAAAAGTGGATACATTTTCTTTCAAATATTTTTAGCCTCTATACACTATTTTCTATCGAAATTTTGTAGAAGGTGGACAAACATTTTTGTTAGGGAGCCGTGATACACATTCGCTGGAAAAAGGGGAAACAAATATTTGGAGAGCAAGCTGCACCGCCCACTTAATAAGCACTTTTCTTTTTGGTTTGTCAACCGCCTCTGTTAATACACTATTAACAGTTAAAGCTGTCTCGTTCTTACTAGCCACTGAAGAGTGCAACCGAACTTTGTCCAAATTCCGGTTAAGAAATCAAACATGTCAACGCAAGCGTATTCTGCAAAACAATTTTAAAAACCCTTTGTGATACTCCTCTGGGCAAAGGCTAAAACTACCCAGACCTCAAAGTGTGCTATACAAGGCGGCACACACTCCTCGAACATGTGTCACACTCTCTATTATGGGAATAAAGGGATTTTCTAGTTGCTGAATGAAATGAAAGGCAGCCTGTGATGGTACTACTAAGTTCCCGAAGAATTTTCCAGGCACGTGGTATGCTTTAGGAACAAGAGAGTACTGGTGAGGCCTGGTCAACTTATTACACTCATCCGATAGCAGCTGAGAACAGCCACAGCTGTAAGTTGTCTGTTCAAGCAAAAGCTTGATCAAATAGCCCCAAACGTAATAAAAAAGTGGACGAGTCATCAATTATGTTAGACCTGATGTCTGATGCCAGCTCAGAAATATCCTCTAGTGGCGGGAAGTTATCAATTGGAAGACATTCCACAATGTCTGAAATTAAACTTTCATGGTGCGAAGATATTCGCAACTCCTTTAGGAGATCAGCCTTGTCATCCTCTGCGTTTTCATTGTCCGACAGTTTGAACAGTTTCTTTATCCAGAGGTGTTTTAGTCCTGAGGTGAACTGATGCACATTTGGGTTTGTGTTGCAGCCCATCATTTGTTGTATATAGCTCCAAAAACGTTCTCAAGTGTGTCTTGCTGCAGGCGTCGTGTAAGTAAGAACTTAAAGTCATGGCTGCTTGAAAGCTCATCCCAGAGCATGAGGACACTTTTTATAGTAACTTGCCACTCAATGATGGCTTATGGTTGCCTTCTACTTTGGAACTGCCATGCTGAAATCCATCCGAGTTACTGGTGGAGAAAATCAAGTATTTCAGATTCCCCCTTCAGAATGGCATGACGCAACTTCTGCCCTGTCTTCTTGAATTTTTTAGCTATTTAGACAGTCAAAAAGTATGCACATCCTATCACAGAAATAGGCTGTAGCCATGGCTGCCTCAGGAAGTTCCTTGACATAAACAAGGGATATGATTGCAAGAAAGAGTGAGGCACTCAGTACCTGATGGGCACAATTTTCTTCCATTTTACAGAAAGGTTCTTGAAAACATGTGTCTCTCAGTAAGCTTCGGAGCCAATTGGAAGCTTATCTCATGGATAGAACAATAAAGTTCAACAATAGAAGACCACCACTCAATAACCTCATTTCTAATGCAAAGTTTGTGGGCTTGGAGATTGCTCTTGGTTGTTTTGGGAAGGTGCGGAACATGAAAGACAAAGTAAACGTGTTCGTTGTCAACTTCAACAAGTGGCTTATCACCACACACAGCAAGCTTACGTTTGAAGCCCCCTAACCACAAACCACAGCCTTTACTGCGAAGCTAACAGTCTTAAAGGGGCGACGCACTGATATTTGTATTTTGCGCAAATACCGCTTAGAACGAATCCCTGACGTTAATGATCTGTGAAATACCCGTTCGTTTTCACCACACGCAATCGAAGTCGCAGAAAAAAATAAAGAAAAACGAGCAGAGTTCACCCCCTCAACTCGCAGCCAGAACAAGCGGCCCCGTGATCTGGAGCCGATTATATGCCGCCAATGTTGATCATAGCCATGCGCTGGGGTTGGCAAGGCACAGGACACGCGCTGCGTTCCAGACATTGTTATGGTTCGGCTTTTGTCGTCATTGCAGCGATTGGACACAGGACACTACCCGAATGCTTCTCGAGCTATCGATTATCACGAGCCCAAATTGAGTGTCCATGCCATGCTCGGGTCCAATCTACGAGCCGTATTCAAATATCGTCACTGGGCGGTACTGCTACCGCCCACCTATGTCATCAGGTTTTTCGAAGGAAAGATTGAATGAAAACACTCGTTTTTGTCTTCGAAATTACAGCGCAACAAAGCAGTTTCTTGTTCAGTGGCGTTGCGTGCAAGTATCATTGAGTCCCACTAGAGCCAGTAAGCTCGTGTAAAGTGAAAAGCATTCGAGTTGAATATCGTTGCACCGCCCCTTTAAGCTCCCGAATGAGAGAAATGAGGAGACTGCGTTAACAGAAAACGTTGCTGGAGTGTGCACAACAGTGTATGCAAGGGGCTAAACGCACCTCCTGGAAATTTCAGACAGCATAACAACCAAGGCTCTATCTGCAATGTTAAAGGTTCGTTCAACACCGTCATCTGTAAGCCCATGGACAATGTCGTGTGCAGGGTCGTAACTTAAAATTCTTTTTTGAAACAATCTCATCGAAAATCAACATGCACACACGTTCAAGTGCAGCCAGACAGCCCGGCAGAAACAACAGCGCGAGAAGCTCGAACCGATTGGCTCCACGAATTCACGCCGAGCATGCGAGCACGCGGGCGGTCATGCGTCACCTTGATTGATGCAAAGCCGACCGAACATGATGCAGCAGAAATCACAGATAGACGGCACGCACGGCACAGACGAATGACGCAGGGACGAGCAGTGGCATTGCAGAATGATGCAGAGGCGACGGCGTGCAGACAGGCAGGCCATGGCAGGCGCCATTCATCACGTGGTTTCTGTGACGTATTTGATTTAAACTATTTAGTCGATTTAAGTACTTTAAACATTTTTAAAGCATTGCCATTTAAAAAATAAATACCTTTCACAGAAAGAGTTTTAATTAATTTTAACCAAATCACAGAAAAGCGCCACGTAGCGGAGGGTATTAAACGCACTATCTGGGCCGCGAATCGGCTCCTGTGTTCTCCCCCTCTTTACGTTTACTATATTACTCTATGCGTCGGGCGGCGTCAGCTCCAACGGACACGGTTATCGCGTTGCCATGGGCGACTGTGCTCTGCTGCCAGAATGCCGCGGTGATCTAACGAGGAACTGGGATACGTCTGCGAACCAAACAGCCCGTCGGACTTTCCTTGCTTTCTTCGCGGATCGCAGGCATTAAGATGACGTACGAGAGGCAGCAGGCCGAGTAAGTTGCTGTCTCTTTAATACCTTGAGCATTTATTCCCCAGCCCTTAGACGATTCCCAAGGCACCCACTGCGGCGATTGTTAAATGTATTGGCGAAGTCAGCTGAATTTTGAGCGAAACTTGTAGTCTTTCTTCTGCATATTCGTTGGAACGTCGTTTACGCTACCGGTTGGGCGGGGAAGTTCATGGCTGTAGTTGTTGGTGGAAGGTGTGCCAGAAAATCTTTATTTGTTTGTCAAGTAAAACATTCAAACTTGAATTTGGTAAATGGTGGTGGTTTTAATTTAATAATTGGAGATTATACCTACGGTGTGTTCATTTTTGCACTGCGTCACGCTTAAAGGAATTGCATGTTAAGCGATCTAGATCACTTGGTTTTTGAGTTCACATAGTATAAACGTGAATTAGTGCTTTGTGCAAGTGAGTGATTTTATGTTAATCAGATGGGACATCGAATATAGGCGAAAGTTAAAATCAGTGGCAGCGTAAACTCCTTTTCTTTGGCAGATGCATTAATTGACCGATGAGGGTGGGAACGATTGTATATACTTTGGCGTTTTTTTTTTTATTGGATCAAAAATTAAGAAAATAAACTTTGTGTATTGTTGCTTTAGGTCTGGATAGCCATTGGCAGCCATGAGCGCAACAATTAGAGGAGGCAAAATGGTTAATCAGTTAGATAAGTAACTAAAATGCTTTCATTCACAACTAAAAGTTTTGTTTTTGGAGGTATAATGTATTCGTAGAACTCACGTTCGACCTCATTAGAGTATAAGCGTTTAGTTAAATTTTATTGAAACAAGTTCGTAGCAGGTGGTTCGAGGCGAGAAGGGTCACCCTTGTGCTGCATACCTTCAAACCGAAACTAAGCGTCCATGTAGTGGCGCTATCACTTTTGGGCATTGCTTGCAGAACGGGCGGAGGGCTAGAGGATCGACGTCACTGGTGCTGTTTACCCAAATAGTTTCGGTTTAAGACATGTACAAGGATGATATTTCTCATCTCGGAACGCCTGCTACAAACATTTTTTAGCAATATCTTAAAATATGTATTGGAAACGTTTTAGGCAATTGAAAGCTAATGAAATAATTTCGAGTCTTTTCTGGTAGCCGTCGCGGTCACTAACTTAACCAAAGAATCACAAAAAAGAAAAGGAAAAAACTAAAGCAATTTTTTTGCTTAAAGAACTATTGTTTGACTAAGAAACGGCTTGTATGAAATTCACCCACGATTTAATATATCGTTCTGGTAAGAATATTGCCGCGCGCCAAGTAGGCAGCGCGGCCGTAGCCTAACGGTTATCGCGCTTGCCTCCCACGCGATGGGCCAGGGTTCGATTCCTGGCCGCGGCTATGCATTTTTGTTGACACTGTAATGTGATGTTCTGGTGAAATCGAGAACCGTCTAGCTGATTCGAGGTCAGAATGTTCTACGCGTCGAACCTTCTACGTCGAATGTTCCAGAAGCTAACGTGTGTACAAAAGCGGCTCCGCGGGCAAGCCGGAGTCAGATTTCGCCTAGCGTTCGACTCTGCTGCTACGCCGACTTCGACGCCCGCGACGCTCCGTTATTATCTTTTGTACCCTTTTATTTATGGCATAAGTTCACCACATTAAACGTTTATTTCTTCCTGTTTATTTCCTGTTTTTTTTTGGTCACCACCCGTGACAATATGTTTGTCGAGGTCAGTGGTTATCGAACTCGTTTATAAGAGTTCATCTTTGAAGTGAACGACGTCAGGTGGAGTGGTATAGGTCGTAGTCGCTTCAAGATTGAAACGCTTAAAACAATAATTGTAGGCTTCGGACTTTATCAAAGTGAAACAAATCTAACGAACAAAACTCCAGATATTGAAGTGAACTTAAAGGGTTTGAGTGTTGACAAAGTTTTAATTAATCTGTAAAATGAACAGGTGACGAAGGTATTTCTATTTTGTTTATTAGGTCGATGAATCTATCACCAACACAAAAGTAAACAGAATTAAATATTACAAATAAGTCAACCTGCGAAGTAAGATAAATTTTGTAATTTTTACGTCACGGTTCAGAAGTACCCCAAAATATTAATCACGTATTAAACACTTTGTTAGAAAATAAAATTCACCACTGTCTTCTGGCCGGCACTGTGAATCAGTGTGATGCGTTAGTCAGTCTTATCTTTACTAGATTACGCACTGCTATCAACACAGATTCTAAAATTTAGGAATTGACGGCCAAGTGAGATGTGAGCTTACAAAATAGGAACTTCGAGGAATAATGGGGAACACCGCAGAACACTTTATGTCGAAACCGTGGGCTTTTGTTTTCTTTCCAACTTCGCGTGTAGCTCAGGATATCTGCGGCCGTCACCTGCTCTTAAATGTATTAGTGACACTGAATTGCGCATAAAAATGGGCGGCGGTTTTTGCTTAAAAAAAATAACATGTTTTAATTGACAACTTAAATTGCAGACGACTGTTTCTACTTTGCAAAATTTGGTTACACATATTTAAGGAAATGTTTCGAAACCATTTTAGTGGTGAGCCAATATAGGGCAAACGTTCTGACGAAGTGCGAAAATTTTGCTGAAAAATAATACAGAAACTTGCGTTTGTTTCGTCAAGAACGACTGAAGCTCCGGAAGCAACGAATTCACCGGGACAACCTTCTCACCGCACGCCACTTGACAAGCGATGCAAAAAGTAGCTTCGTGAAGCACTCGTGGATCACGGATGTACACTTTTGTCACTGACAGGACTAGAACGGCATGCAGGTGTTTCAGCTGTCCGCCTTCCAGTTCGGATCACCGACTGAACCAGTCCCGCACAAAAGACGAGGAGGAGGGCGGCACCTTCCTTGTGCCAGATCGGTTTGGTCGGAGATACTTAACACGCGAAGACGAGGACCGTGAGAATGCACTTCTGCCGCTGATTTATAGACTACTCCGTAAGGTCGGCTGCTATCGGAATTAAAAAGACGAGGTCAAAATTCACACTATACCCCGTTTCATCTTTATGTTCGAACACTACTAACCTTACGAGCCAATAGGGTCTAATCAACCCTCTCAGAAAGTGCTACAGCACGAGAGGTTTTCAGTTTCTATGCGGGCGTTATTACCAACTGATTCAATCAAGCGACACGAAGAATCCGTCGTGACATTGCCTTTGAAGTCTGCTCGTGTGCGCTTGTGTTGCGAGTCGCGACTAGTGTTTTGGCCTGCACGGGTACAAGAGAAAACAGAGTCGAGACAAATATAACCACTACACCTTACGAGTGTTGGCCGTAACACGTTACAAGTAGCGGCGTCACCGGCAACTTGTTACTTTATTCGGTAGCACAGTAACGTACTCGTTACATTTTCGAAACAGTAACGGGTAATGTACTCATGTTACTTATATCGAGTAACTGGTCACAGTTACCCTTACGTGTTACTTATTCCTAAAACTTAAAAAAATTACGCTTCAATATTTGTTTCGTGTTTTGGCGCCAAGCCATGTGAATTTTCACGTTTTTTTGCGTTCTTCGCATTTGTTCTTGTGAGTATTTAGGTGAAACCATAAAAAAGACGAAGTAATTATGTTCACTTTTTGCATGAACATAATGTTTCATGAAATATGGCGCTTATGAATACCTCTACCGTCAAAACGGTAAAACGTTCTAATTCATAATTTAAAAAGTAATGCAAAAAGTGACGTGCGTTACTTTTCATCCGTAGCGGTTAAAGTAACGCGTTCCTTTTTTTCGCAAAGTAATGGGTAACAAATCTCGTTACTATTTTTCGGTAACGCCTACTACACCTCTGCTACTTACCAAAGAGATAGTCTGCACATCACAATTTTTCGCGTATACGAACCACTCTGAAAAACTCAATTTAGTCATACCTAGCGTTTCGAAATTTAACCGCTTATTTATTAATTTATAATAAAACTTTTTTTAGAAAAATTTTTTTATTGCTGAAAAATTTGTTTGGATTTATTGATGCCCCTGCTACACTTTTTCAAGGCTTAGACATCCTTAACCCAATGCCTCTATCTTCCTCTTCGTATCTATTGTTCTAAAAACCTAAACCAAAATCAACCCCATTTTTTAAGAAACCTGTTTCGGGTATTGCTCTATCTTCTATAAAAGTCGTACACGCATACTTAAATTAAAATAGACTCAAATTAATTAAAAAAAACTAAAGAAGAATGCCGTCTCGGAATGTTCCCCGTGTTTTCAAAACGAAAATGGGGAGTGATTATGGGAGGGCGGCATGATAATAGGTTCTCCAAATATACCGGGTGTTTAAGCGAAGACTTTAAAAAATTTCTACGAGTAGGGTAGGGTGATTGTGGAAAAAATAATCCCTTTTCGGAAACAAAAGTGGCAGCCACAGTAGAGGTCAAGAATTGCAAAAAAAAAAAAAAAAAAAAAAAACATTATTACTTAGTGTACCTAAAATTTGCTAACTTAATTTTTAATTAGTGAAAATACCAATGTGCTTTCGATTAGAAACTTGCTCAGCGTTATCGAAACCCTCAAAATCAGTCTATATTGTTATATTTACACGGTCCTCCACCGTGTTGGATTATTTTTGCGCGTGTCACCCCTCCCCTAACGAGTAGTCGGCGACGAAAGTAAAATCCATTCGATTCTGTCTCCAGTCGTTTTGTTGCTGCAATTGTCATGACACTCAAAGGAGTGAATATATCGGTGACTGTAATATTACTCTTTCCGAAACTTATGGGTATTAAAGTCTCTATTGTTACTCAAATTTCTCTTAAGGCCACACAACCAAGATATCACACGTCCTTCTAAATCGTGTTTTGTGCTCGTTTTTAGCAATGCTAAATCACTTAATATTTTTCCAGTATCAACAGAGAATTTCGTCCAGTGAAAGGATTCGAGGGGATAAAAGTACGTTACTTGAGGTTTCCACATGACGTACTAGACAAGGCGGAATGTGATCATTGCCAGTACATTCCAAAGGAAGTATATTATCTTCGTTGCTTCAAGCATAAACTCTGTCCGGAATGCAAGCATTATTACAACGCTTATTACTGCAACAAATGTGGAGTTCAAACAAGCACCAAAGAGGTGAGCATTTTTATTTCATATTTAGCGGAAGAGGTACCGTCCAATGCTGAGGATTTCATTTTTCTATATAAATTATATGGCGGAATATTGTTTCTAAATGCGTACATTGGGAAGATATTTTCTCTCTAGAATGAATTTGTCACTTTCCCTGTCTAGGAATTGTAAACAAATATTTTCTAAAATGAGTGTAATTATAGAAATGAACCCCAAATTTTGGTGTTTGTTAAAAAGCTACATCTTAGCTGATGCTGCTGAGCTGAGTGCGAGTCCCCCTTTCTGCGACCACGCAGGGTGATTCTCTGCATTTGCCAATATAATTTTTTATGACCTTTTGCACGCGTTCTTTACTAGGACTTGAGGGAGGGGGATAGGGGAATGCAGACGTCAGGGTGCATAAAAAATTATATCCATTTAAATCTGGAATTTTAAAAATAAACACCTTTTAGTACAAATGCGACTGCATCGTTTAGAAAAGCGAGATGGTAAAAATAAACGTCATCGTTTTTTTCCGTGCCAGCTTGTACATCTCTCGCACTATAATGCCCTTTTTGAGCAGCAGGATTACCTGAATAGACAAATAGATATAAGTAATCATATTGTGACGGAGACAGACAAATCAGTTTGTATATATGTGGATAGATTTAGACGTATGTTAGAACCCACATCACGCATCTCAAATAATGAGTTTAACTCCGTTCCTTCTGAATATGTCAGCTGTGGAATTTGTGAGTTGCACATTCTAGGATCACATGTACTGTTTGATGGTTGAGGCGAGCGCCATCCATTGTGTTTGGAGGAAACAACCAAGAGATATAAATATTCCTGCGGGTGCAGGAATCGATATTTGTATGTGAACTGAGTACTTAATAGAATAATTCTTTAATTGGAAAAAAAATATTGTTTTAACACATTGCTATACGACTAGGTGAATTCAACAAGTCGCAACATAGCATGCATCTCAAGAATATTTTTTCTCATTTTAATTTTATTGTGCAAAATACTAGGAAGTGCACGCTCTGTCACGTAAACTGGCCTGACGAATATGGCATGTTTTAAAATAATAAGTGCATCTGTTATTATTCCGCCCATGCGTGATAAGTTACCGTGTTACCTGCTTTGAGTGATGTGCCTTATACACACGTATTTTATATATGGCTTGTATTTTCTAAGCATAATATGCATTGCTGAGGATTTCATTTTTCTATATAAATTATATGGCGGAATATTGTTTCTAAATGCGTACATTGGGAAGATATTTTCTCTCTAGAATGAATTTGTCACTTTCCCTGTCTAGGAATTGTAAACAAATATTTTCTAAAATGAGTGTAATTATAGAAATGAACCCCAAATTTTGGTGTTTGTTAAAAAGCTACATCTTAGCTGATGCTGCTGAGCTGAGTGCGAGTCCCCCTTTCTGCGACCACGCAGGGTGATTCTCTGCATTTGCCAATATAATTTTTTATGACCTTTTGCACGCGTTCTTTACTAGGACTTGAGGGAGGGGGATAGGGGAATGCAGACGTCAGGGTGCATAAAAAATTATATCCATTTAAATCTGGAATTTTAAAAATAAACACCTTTTAGTACAAATGCGACTGCATCGTTTAGAAAAGCGAGATGGTAAAAATAAACGTCATCGTTTTTTTCCGTGCCAGCTTGTACATCTCTCGCACTATAATGCCCTTTTTGAGCAGCAGGATTACCTGAATAGACAAATAGATATAAGTAATCATATTGTGACGGAGACAGACAAATCAGTTTGTATATATGTGGATAGATTTAGACGTATGTTAGAACCCACATCACGCATCTCAAATAATGAGTTTAACTCCGTTCCTTCTGAATATGTCAGCTGTGGAATTTGTGAGTTGCACATTCTAGGATCACATGTACTGTTTGATGGTTGAGGCGAGCGCCATCCATTGTGTTTGGAGGAAACAACCAAGAGATATAAATATTCCTGCGGGTGCAGGAATCGATATTTGTATGTGAACTGAGTACTTAATAGAATAATTCTTTAATTGGAAAAAAAATATTGTTTTAACACATTGCTATACGACTAGGTGAATTCAACAAGTCGCAACATAGCATGCATCTCAAGAATATTTTTTCTCATTTTAATTTTATTGTGCAAAATACTAGGAAGTGCACGCTCTGTCACGTAAACTGGCCTGACGAATATGGCATGTTTTAAAATAATAAGTGCATCTGTTATTATTCCGCCCATGCGTGATAAGTTACCGTGTTACCTGCTTTGAGTGATGTGCCTTATACACACGTATTTTATATATGGCTTGTATTTTCTAAGCATAATATGCATTGCATATATCTTGTATTGTATGTGCCCCTTTTTTGCTAGTTTTTCTACTCATTATGTGCTATAAAAATTAAAAAGTATATTCTTTTTTTTTTCAAATTTACCCAAAGTAAGCAAATTCCTGGCTAAATATAAACAGCATTAAAAATATATTTTCAGCTTAGTGATGCTGTGAGATATATCAACGATGAGGCAAAACACCTGCGGGTGCTTTGCCCATTTTGTGAGGAGGAAATGCGGCTGGAATTGATGGAGGTACGTACTCTGAAACCTATATGTTTGAAATATTTTTAATATATACATAAAAAGCTTCAGCAAAATGACTACACTAAACAGCAGCAACACATACGTCAAAACCGGTGTTCGGTTGAAGTTTTTTTTTGTATTTATCAAAGTTTAAAGGGAGCTCCGGCAGAATATTCATATTCACTGATTGGCTTAAAAATGGGTTAAGCACGTTAACAGACACGTCTGAACTACTCACCTGACTTACAAGTAACTGTAACAGGTTTCTTGGCGAAGTTATTGATATAAAAAATTTGGTCTGAGGCCACGGGGGCATTACTGGCAATCCTGAAAGCGTAACGTAGAGGTAACATAGGACACGTAGAAAGGTACAAATAAATATCTGGGAGTATGGTTAAGTGAAGGAAGAGGGCATCTAAAAGACCATGAAGATATTGTAATAAAGAAGGGAAACGAGATTCGGCTATCGTGAAACACAGGGCACTATGGAACTATAATAGACATGAAGTTGTTAGGGGTGTATGGAAGGGAGTCATGGTGCCAGGGCTGTCATTTGGGAATGCGGTATTGTGTATGAGGTCAGAAATTCAGGCAGATACAGCAAAGGAGTGTGGGTAGGTTGGCATTTGGGGCACATGGGAATACACCAAATGAGGAAGTGCAGGGGGATATGGGTTGGGCATCTTTCGAGAGTAGAGAAGCGATCAGTAAAGTAAAATTTGAACAAAGGCTAGCTGAAATCAAGGACACACGGTGGGCAGCGAGGGTGTACAAGTATCTATATATGAAAAGTCTAAACACTAAGTGGACAAACCGAACCCGCAAGCTGAGATTTAAATACATTCAACGAGATGGAGCCGATCAGAGCATATGAATAGAAAAGGGAGTAAAGGAAACAGAGAGGAAATTGCGGGAAGAAAGAATGTAGGGGAAATCAGCTTTAACAATATACAGGGCACAAAAACTGGAAATAAAGAAGGAACAGCTGTATGATAATTCAGTGGGGAGCTCTTTGTTGTTTGAGGCTAGAACGGGGGTGCTGCGAACGAAAACGTATAGGGCTAAATTTCAGGAAGTAGACACTCTGTGCGACGTATGCAACCGCGAAAGAGAAACTATAGAACATGTAATTTTAAGGTGCACAGGGCTTCGTCCCACCCTCTTGGGGGGGATGACTACGGATTTGGAGGGGGCACTGGGTTTTCCGGACATGGATGGACGAATGGATAGGGAAAGAATTGCGGTAACTAAGACGAGATTGGAAGATTGGTGGAAGAGATCTAGGGAAGGATAAAATAAAAAAAGTGGAAGTCGTTTACCACTCCCTGTAACGCCGAATTGGAGCGCAGCTCTTGAGGAGGAGGAGGGGAGGGTACTGAGGGCCACGTGTTCTCGGGGGGGGGGGGGGTCACGTGACCCCCCCCGAGGGCACGTGACCTTGGTGGGGTCACGTGGGGGCAAACACGTGCCCCCTCAGAGGTCACGTGACCTCGGGAGGGGGTCACGTGACTCCACAGGTCACGTGACCCCCGGGTCACGTGACCAAACTTTTTCCGCTAGATTTCGCGGGGAAATTTTTTCCGCGATTTAGAGGGGGAAGTTTTCCGCTAGATTTAGCGGGGAAACTTTTTCCGCTAGATTTAGCGGGGAAATTTTTTCCGCCGGGTTTAGCGGGGAAATTTTTCCGCTAGATTTAGCGGGGAAATTTTTTCCGCTACATTTAGCGGGGAAATTTTTTCCGCTAGATTTAGCGGGCAAAGTTTTCCGCTCGATTTAGCGGGGAAATATTTTCCGCTAGATTTAGCGGGGAAATTTTTTCCGCTAGATTTAGCGGGGAAATTTTTCCGCTAGATTTAGCGGGGAAATTTTTTCCGCTAGATTTGACGGGGAAATTTTTCCGCTAGATTTAGCGGGGAAATTTTTTCCGCTAGATTTAGCGGGGAAATTTTTTCCGCTAGATTTAGCGGGGAAATTTTTTCCGCTAGATTTAGCGGGGAAATTTTTCCGCTAGATTTAGCGGGGAAATTTTTTCCGCTAGAATTAGCGGGGAAAGTTTCCCGCTAGATTTAGCGGGGAAATTTTTTCCGCTAGCTTTGACGGGGAAATTTTTCCACTAGATTTAGCGGGGAAATTTTTTCCGCTAGATTTAGCGGGGAAATTTCTTCCGCTAGATTTAGCGGGGAAATTTTTTCCGCTAGATTTAGCGGGGAAATTTTTTCCGCTAGATTTAGCGGGGAAATTTACCCATAATGCACCGCGCGGTTACGCCGACAGCGACGCCGACGGCGACGCCAACGGCGACGGCGACGGCGACGGCGACGCCGCTCAAGCCGGAAACGGGCGCCTAAGAGCTGCGCTCTAAAAAAAAACATATAAAAATAGGCAATAAATTCAATTTAAAAGAGAGGGGGGTCGGTTATAACAAAATTCATACAAATAAAAGAATAGAAGCGATGACGAAATGTTAGGCTCGGTGGCGCAAGCTGCCGCCCGTTACAAAGGGTATAGCCATTACCATCCATCCATCCAGGTGTCATGTGGTGTGATACGGGTGCATTACAGCTTGTTCCCGGCGAGTTACAACAATTTTGTAGGTGTGAACTGAATGCTATAGTCGGTTACAAGTCAAGAAGGTAGGAGAAGCTTCTCCCACAAGCGTGATGCGCCCGTTTCAAAACCCTCCGCAGTCGAAAGAAGAGTTCACTGGAAACGCTCCTGGTTCCGCCTCAGTGGATAGGTAATGACCACAGAGCGGTGCCAACTTGTCTTCGATCCCCACTTTTTAAGAAAGCGACCTTTGTATTTATTGGAGGGGGAACCGAGCCCCTGAAAGCAGCCTTTGTATCCATCGGAGGGGGAAGCAAATCCCCGAAAGTCGTATTGCTTTCCATCGGAGGGGGAAAGCTCTAATCTCCCTCTCGAGGCTTCCTCAATGCTAAGTCAAAGTCGACAGATAAAGCAAATATGGTACGGAAAGGCAAGACCGTCCTCGCGCGTTGGCCGCGACGTCACGGAAACTTTGGGACGCTATTGGATGCGGAGGGGGCGGAGGGATACATGATTCCCTTTGAGGTGCATTTGCCGCTACCTTTTTAACCTGTAACCTACTATAGTTAAACTCACGCAAGCAAAAAGAAATGTATGCGCCGTATATTGCTTTTGGTCTGTCTTGTCGACTTGCAAGTTATGCAGTATGTGACATCACAAAAATAAAGATCGCGGGATAATGTGTATATTTGTTTTGTCATTACCTTCATTGTCAGTTTTCTCACAGTTATTTTGAATTTAGAGATATTAAATTGCATCCCTGAAAAGTAATGCGAAAATGTGTTTATTCGAAACATATATAACAAAAAAAACCAACGAAGTTCTTTTATTTTTCGAAGAATTTTTTTTTTACAAATTACATATGTATGTACCTCTTCTTTTTGTGTGGAATTTTTATTATATTTCTAAGTCGTTCGGAAAGGGCATATGTATCGAAACATATACGCGGTGTTGATGGGCAGAAGTGTTATTTAAAACGGAAGTAGCGCGGATTCAAGTTTTCTCCAACAATACAAAGCGACTTTCTTTTTTTTTTTCTTATAAAACCAATTTAAAAAAAAAAAAAAAAAAAAAAAAAAAAAACGGGGGGGGGGGGGGGTAGATAGGTATGTGGATGCCGTCTTAATCTTGTGCATTCGCGTCTCCAGCTCGTTGCTCGCCCTCCCGCGGCGGAAACGGGAAGCTCTCTAGTGAGGGTCCCCCGATTCTCCTGCTCAGCGGGCACGGCGGAACTGCTCACGATCATGGCTTGACAAAATGTCATTTCCGAATGCAAACAACACTCTTCACTGTCCCAACGGGATTGTACCTATACTAGAGAGTTCAGTATTGCGTATAGAAGCAAACGCAAGCGGTGTGCGTTTGCGTTAGAGTTGTGGGCCCCACGTTGTGCGTGCGCCTCATCGCCATGCGCCAATCCAAGACCGCAATTTTGGGTTACGCGCAGTGTGGAACACGCAAAGCTAACGCAAACACACGGTCTTTGGGTTCGCACGTAAACAGAATACTAAAAGTCCCTACTGTTTCACCAGCTTCCAACGCCAACGAAACGTGCTGCAGTGAGAAGACTCGCAAGCAGGTATGCGTTCCCTCAAACTGGAAAGGCTGAGATTGGCAAAACGACGGAGCGTAAAAATGAAAGTAACTAAATGTTGTAAAAATTGTTAATTAAAAAAAGGTTTTTTGTTTATTTATTTTTTATTTGTTTGCTTTTGGGCATTTCGTCTGGAAGGATATTGGCGGCGACTTTGGACGTTTTAGCGATAGTGAAAAGTCGCGATTTTGATAGCAAAATATACTTTACCCACAATTAATTCTTTTTTACATGAATTCCTCTCGTTAGATGAAATGTCTTGATTGACTTTAGACTATTTTTATTTTATTACTTGGTAATTAAAATTCTGCAATTGGCACCAGTGAGATAATTAGCACATTTTTGATTGTCATGTTTGTTCACGCTTTTGAAATTAGATCATAAGCACCAAATTATATTAGAGCTTGAAACATTACGTATTAAAATATATCAATTTTAATATTATTATTAATACAAATCATGGAAATTAACGCCAAGATCACGAAAATACGCCATTTATTTATAATAGTCTTTCCAGAAAGGTATAATTTTGTTTTCTTCTTAGAATATAATAAGCTCTGACATCGTTATCAAGATACAGACATTCAAACACTGGATGCAATATAAAGTCCTATGCGTCACGCGTTGCTATAAAAAACACACGAACTTTAGCTATCTGATTCCGGTTCCGTATTTGGGTTGTTTTAGTGAGAACAGCGTTTATTAATTTATACGTTTTGAGGACATATTGTTAAAATTGGATTTATCTTTTTCTTGTGCTGGAAATAATATTAAACCAATTAAGGCCATGGTCCCACTGAATGTGGCCGTTTAGGTACTTTTTGGCAGACCATTACTCATCTCCTTTTAAATACTGTTTTGTGGGATT